CCATTAGGAAAGAGAGATGTTTAAGAGTTTGAAATATATCTGTCAAAATGATATACGGAGCGCCTTAGTAGTAACTGATTTGTCATTCTAAGATAGGATTCAGAGTATAAACGAATATAGAGAAAGACATTTGAGTCTAATGTCAATTTGTAGTAAAGAAGTAGAATCCAATATAGTAAGCAGTGAAACGTAGCTTATACGAGTAGTGTAGGCAATTTACAACAAAAAAGAGAGATTCGATTACAAACCAAAAATTCGACTTGTAACAATATAGAGTGTAACATTAAAAATGTAAAAAACAGAAAAATGGAGAAGCTGGGCGTCGATCCCAGTGCCTCTCGCATGCTAAGGCGAGCGCTCTACCATTTGAGCTACATCCCCCACCTTTCTTTCCGCTAAAGAATTTTTTATATACTTTCATAGCCCGAATTATATCGAAGATTCCTATAACCCATCATCTCTCATCAAGTACTTGCTTATATCAATACCATAACCGAGCAAAACACTTTTAATAAGATTAACACCTGCTGACACCCTTCGTCCGGTCAAAAAAGGCCAATTTCAACCCTCTCTCCACTTTCTTTGCTGCTGATATCTCTCAACATTTAAAAGCAAAGAAATGCAACCTCAAGACCTCTCCAAAGCATCTCATTTTACATCCTCGATCGATGTTGACCCCAACTCGATTGACTTTGGTCTCACTTCCCTCCCACCTGCTTCGCCACTGATCAAACTGCGTTGTCGACCTTTATGGTTGAGGTCAGACATCGTTTGAGCAGATTTAGAATCTGCCCATGCTGAAATTGCGCAGTTGAAAACAGCCCTGGCTGAATCAGAGGCTGCTAGAGACGCCCTTGCGGCTCAATTGGCAGCTATCAACGCTCAATCACCACCAATGTTGCTCCCACCACCATAGACGCTGTATCGTCGAACACTCCAACACCACCATCAACAACATCTGCCTCCAAGTCTACCCCCAGCTACTCCCAATCTCAAGTTACAAACGCAACCATCTTTTGCTGCCGTCGTTGCATCCAGTGCAGGTACAAAGCGTAAGAAGAAGCCTGCTGCTTCGTCCTCCTCCATCTGCCACCAGGCATCCGCTACTCTTGCTCGTCTTTTTGCTCCCTCAAAGTGATATACCATCTGGTTATCAATTTGTGTACTATGCTACTCCTGTCCGCCGTCGTCTTTCTGAGCTGCGTCGCCTTGTTCAAGGCGTAGGATTGAATAACTCTCGTGTGCTGGATATTCAATATCCTGTACAGAATGTGATTTCTTTCCTTGTTCACAACGACTATGTTCTCACCCTCACCAAAGCCATGCATCTACATGGTCGTGGCTCTTCTCCGTTGATTGACTTTGATCCATGTGATCCAGTCAATCTCAAAGATCCCAAATTTGCTTCTCTCTCTCGTGATCTGCGTGTCCAAAAGGCCATTGAGGTCGAAAACCTTCGCTGCCTTCGTTCGCTGTCTTTTGTCCGTCGCTCTGTCCGTGTTTTCTGTTGCTCGTTCTTTTCTTTTTGTATGATCGCATCAACCAAGCCCAATTTGATGCCATTTTGAAAGAAGAAATGCCTGCTCGTTCCTCCTCCTCTGCTGCTGCTAAACCACCATCCCGATCCTCTGATCAAGAGCGTTTAGCCAAGAAACAACGTTTGAGTTATCTTGGCTACCTCTTGCATCATGATGCTGAAACTGCCTCTCTCTTGGCTTATGCTGTCTCCCCCACTCTCTCTGCCTACCAAGGATCTTGAAATGTCAGAGCCTTCTGATAACTGATTGACACCTTGTTGTTAAAATCGTTTTGCTCTCTCATTCCCACTCTCATTGTTTCTGTTTCTGCTGCCTTTGTGGTAGTGTCCGTATTCACTTTGTCCTCCTTCTCTGCTTCTTTCTCGTTTGGTCTTTGTCTCTCTGCTCATTTTGCTATATGCAAATGCCTCGTTTTCTCCTTTTTTTTCTTGCTTTTTTTGTGCCACTGAGGTCTGTGGGTTTATTTTGTCTGTGCTGCCTGTCTGAACATCGAGGTATCCCCAATTGCATGTCTCATACACCATAGCTTCTTATTCTCTACCCTTTTATCTCACTTGTTTTACTCCTTTTTCCTGCCTGTACTTCTTTTTTACCAGTTTAATTTTTAGTTTAGGACCTTTTTTCCCTTTTCTGGACACTTGCATGTTGTTCCTGCATGGAGATCAAACTATTAATTTAAGCTTTTTTGCTGTACGTCGCTTCTCAGGACTTGCAACTAATGATCCAAAGATCGCATGCATATAAGTCTATATTTTTTACATTGCTAATTCATTGTAATCAATAAACAACCATAAATTTTCGCCTGAGCTACATCCCCATCTCTTTCCGTTTTTCATCACTTTTTGCCACCTTCCCCGGTAAAAAGTATTTCCTCACTATAAAAGCGGTTATCTCGACAACAAACACTCCAACTAGCCTTCAGTTGTACCAGTTTACTTGCATTTAGTCAACGTACATTGTGTTATAACTTCCAGTTTGTTGGACATCTTTTTCATATTTTATTGAATCTCCAAAGTTTGATAGAATATTTTCAGCCATGCTCAACAATAATCAGCAATCTATGGATTTGAATCAGCTCATCCAAACTGTTCAACAACAACAGCAACAACTGGTCTCTCTCACCGAGCGAGTACAGCAACATGACAATCTCCTTGCTCGCCTGGACCTTTTGGAAAAGGAAAATGGAGAATTGAAAAATCAGTTACAGGCCAAGGACCTTGCAATTGAAAAATTACAGGGCCAACTCTCATCCCGCCGCACCAATCAAGGTGCTCAATCCAGCTCTCAGGTAACACCAACCCAAGAGCTTGTTACTATTCACCAACCCGATGCTACTCAAGGTAGCTACGCATCTGCTGCCCGTAAAGGTGCCCAACATCGTGACCCTGCCCGTACTACCAAGCGACGTCTTGCTGCAGGTCGTATGTTCCAAACCGCCACCACCAAAGGTCAACAAGGATACCAGTATGTGTATCTAGGCCGCTCTGGTAAAATCCTGCGCTCTGAGGTTCGTTACCAACTTCGCCGAGCTGGTATTGATACTGGCCGTGTGTTAGACATCTGTTTCCCTGCCACTGGCGTCATTGGCATCTTGCTCCACATCCAATATGTAGAGGAGTTTCTCGCCTGTATGCGCAAATGTGAAGCTGATCACATTGAAAACTTTCAACCCTTGGATCCCAACAACATTGCTGATCCCAAATATGCTGATCTTGCCATTGAAGAGCGTGAGCAATTGATCTATGAATTCACCAACACCCGTGCTCTGCAAACCCTCTCTTTCCTTCGTCCACTCAACGTTAGTGGCGTTGGCAAATACTTTGTCTCTGCTGGCTGGATCTCTCAAGAAGAGCTAGATATAGCCGTCTCTGAAGCTATCGGTCGTCTTGCCGAGAAGGAGCCCAAAAAGGCTAAATTCTTGTTCAAGCGTCAAAAGGAAGATCATGACAGCAATGGCTCTGCTATGGAACTCTAATGAGTAACATAGCTACTAGTCATACTCCCAATAACAACCCAGTCCACTCCTTTCAAGTCTCTCTCTCCCTTTGGAATGCCAATGGTCTACGTCAATCAACAGTACATGATGTTCTCCATCATGTTCAGAACACTCATGTACTGCTTGTCACTGAAACCTGGCTAACCTCTGGTTCTTTCCCTACTAACTGGTCTCAATTCCACCTCTATGGCTCTAAAGTACCTGGTGCATTTAACCGTGGTTCTGGTGGCATTACTGCCTTTGTCTCTCCTTCCTGTCCTTTCTCTGTCTCTCAACTTCCGTCTTACAATGCACACACTTTGTCCCTTAAGGTTGGCACCCTTACGGTTCATTGTGTGTATCTGCCTCCACCCTTATCTTCGGATAAGGTGCTCTCGCTTCTTCGCTCGTTACCCGTAACCAGTGATACCATCCTTTGTGGTGATTTCAATGCTCGCTTTGGATCTCTACTGGGTGATACTAATGCTAATCCTCGTGGTACCTCACTACTGCCATGGCTGGAGGAGTCCTCTTTTTCCATTCTCAATGAGTCTTTAGCATTTGGTACACCCACATTCACAACTTTTCGACGTCAACAAGAGGTTCATAGCATCATTGATCTGTTTCTTACAAACATTGGCGAGGCTGCTCTGTTACATCCTCAACTGGTGGTTGAATCTGATCTGTCTCTTGGCTCTGATCATCGGCTGATGGTACTTACTTTCGAGTATGTGCCCCCTCCCGATGATACTCTTGGTTCTGGTAGCTCTGGTGGTTTGGCCCCTAGACGGCAATGGAAGCTCTCGAAATTGAGGAAAAAGCGGCCTTTGGGCTTGCTTCGTGAATCCTTTCGAACTTCTGTTGCTCCTTTGGTTGGTTCTCTCTCTGGTTTGGTGTCTGCTCCCCCTGGTGTTTGTCCAGATATTGATGCAATCAACGATTCTTTGAATCAATGTTTGTATGAATCTCTGGATAGCTCAATTGGTGTGAAATCTGGTCGTCCTGGCCACTGGAAAAAGTACTGGACACAGGAAATTGAGGATGCTGCTCGTGAAAGAGATACTATGTATAGTAGATGGAGGTGGGCAAGTCGTTTTGCCAAAGTCGAAACATGGAATCTCTATCAAGCTGCTCACAGGCGTTTTCGTTCTCTTGTACAAGCTGCTAAGCGTCGATCGTGGAATCAGTTTTGCTCTGATTTGGAAAAGGATTTTTCGAAAGCTACTGCTGCAATCAAGCGCATTAAAAGAAACAAGGAATGCTCTGCAACGTACAGTCATCCAGACGGTCCAACTGCCTCTGTCAACACAATGGCGTCCCATCTTGCCTCTGTCTATGATGGCTCCCTGTTGAATAATGCGTCTCGCCTTGCTGCTCCGTCCAATTTCTCTGATTTGCCTTATGATGTGTCCACCGCTGATTTGGGTCTATTTGATGCTGATACACTTGTCTCCCTCATTAAGCGTTTGCCAAATGGGAAAGCTCCTGGTCCTGATCATTTGAAAGCTGAAATGCTGAAGGCTCTAGCATCTGACATTGCACCCGTATTGTCTCTGCTCTTTACACTCTGCTCTCAGTGGTCGTATACACCAGCCCTATGGCGACATGCTCAAGTCTTTCCCATTTACAAGAAAGGTGATGTATCTGATCCTGCAAACTTTCGTCCAATTTCGCTTACTTCGGTGATGCGTAAATTGTTCGAATTCTCTCTGATGCCTGCTCTTGATGAACATTCGCCTGCACTTGATGTTGCTCAAGGTGGCTTTCGCCCACAGCGTAGTCCTCTGGATCAAGCCCTCTGTTTACATGACTTGATGCACGACTACTTCCTCACCCACCATCACTATCCTGTGGTTGCTTTCCTAGACATCAAATCAGCGTATGATACCGTGGATCGTCGAGTAATTTGGGATGCTCTCTCTCGTTCTTCTCTGCCTCGTTCAGTTCTCAGTTTGCTCATCCACATGTTCGATGATGTACTCGTGTCTGTGTTGATTGCAAATCACACCTCTGTTCCCTTTTCGCCTGCTACTGGCGTATTGCAGGGTTCAGTGCTCAGCCCTCACTTGTACTCTCTGTACATCAACTCTCTGCCTGCTGTTCTTCGTTCTGCTGTCAGTCGCGGTACTATGGTATCACCACCTGGGATGCCTAGTGTTTGCGTGAATAGCCTGCTCTTTGCTGATGATGTGGCCATATTTGGCTCTCGTACTGATGTGCAAACCATGTTGGATATCGCTTCAGATCACTCGTTCTCTCTTGGCTACAGGTGGAAACCATCAAAATGTGCTGTACTTTGTGCTCCTACTGCCTCTACTCGTCATCCATTGTCTCTATACGGTGAACCTCTTCCTGTGGTAGAGGAATTCACGTATCTTGGTATGCCGTTTAGATATAAAGGTCTGTATGCCCCTGGGATTCTCAATCTGCGTGCTTCTGGTGCTATCAAGACAATGGCATTGTTAAATTCGGTTGGTGTCAATCGAAATGGTTTTTCTCTGTTGCTTTGTGCTCGTTTGTATAAAAGCTTTATTCGTCCCAAACTGGAATACGGCTTAGCTATATCTCATCTCTCTTTCCGTGACTTCAAGGCTCTTGATGCTCTGCAAAATCGATTGGTTGGTATGTTTGTTGGTAGTACATGGTACAATGTTGCCAAACATTTGACCTGTCTTCCCAGCATGAAGCATCGATATAACGTTCTGACAACACGTTATGCCCTTCGTGCTGATACTCTCCCTGATGATTGCTTGTTGGTTCTGCTTCGTCGTGGTTTACTGTACACTCGTCTAGACAGATTTATCTGTCAAAACCCGTTGTATCTAACACTGCCTGATCCGCCGCCATTCACCACTGCTGGTCTTACTGAAGTCTTTGATTCGTATTGGCAAGATCAAGTAGATCGTCAACTTGCTGCTGCTGCTGTTTCTGGTGCTCAGACTCTCCTTCGTGCTTGTCGTCCGTCTGTCTCTCGTCCAGATCCCATCCTGTATCTGCCTATTGGTCGATCTGCTCGTAGTCGTCTTGTGCGGTGGCGTCTTGGACGTTTCACCAATATGCGTGAAGAATGTCCGTGCACTACCGGTGAGTTTATCTCCCGAGATCACTTTCTGACATGTCGTGCTCTGGATCGTACCTTTTTTGATGCTTTGCCACCTGCTCCACCTGGTGTACATCGCATTGACCATGCTCTGAACTGTCTTCCAGACAAAGCTTCAGCTGGTCCACCGTACTTTTGGTCTGCTT